CTTGCTCAAGAGTTTGAGCTCTGAGCAACAGCGGTTCGAGTCCAGCCCGAGCTGAGCAGCCGCTGAGCTGCCAACAGGTAGCAGGATAGCTCAGCTAAAAAAAAAAAACAAAAAAAAACAAACAAACAAAAAACAATTTCAGTGTGCATATGTGCAGAATATTAGCTTAGTCAACTACTAAAGGCACCGTAGCAAATTCAAACCATCAGCCCTTCTGTAACATAAACAAAAATAGTAACAAATGAAAAATACTAACTAAGAAAGCAAGAAACATTGTTTATTATAGGTAATTCAAGGTCTTAAATAGCACTTACGGTTCAGGCAACGGAATACAGCAAAATCAGGAAGTCTTTACTAACATATGGTATTAACCTCATAGGAAAGAGAAAGAAAGAAGTCTGTATGTGGAGGTGAAATATGTGGTAAGCGTTGTCTTGGGAATTTCAGAAAGAAAAATCCCTAGACAGGAAATGAAGAATATGCAGGAAAGAAAAAGAATTGCAGCAATAAGAAAACAGGAATAGAATTGTGAAGCAGTTTCCACCTAGTTAGAAGTAAAAATAGAATTAAAGCATCAAATGAGTTAGAACATTGCTACTCTAAAGCTCATTTTATGTCAAACACCAGATAAAGAAACACCATTTAAAGGGAAAATTGATGTGACTGCTGTAACTAGTGAAAAAACAAACTTGTAAGGGTATATCCTTAATTTCATAAAGTATTTATCCAAAGTTGACATAAGGTTTGGAAAAAGATCACTTTCGGTCCCAGAGCTGATTACAAATTAAAACCAATGTACTTTCCACTAAGGGGAAAATCACCTCCTACTGAAGACACCAAGAACCAGACTCACCGATCTTCCAAAACTTTAATGGTTTCGTGCAGGACTTTCTGTTGCTCTCTCAGCTGTTGATTTTTGGTGAAGAATTCTTCAAGTCTTTGTGCATCTCTGAAAGTCAACAAATAAGTTTTTTTTTTTAGGGAAAAATGTTCTAGCAGGATAGCTGTCATAACATCTCCAAAGTATGGTCTCACTACTTACATCTATCATGAATTTGCTGTATCGAAATAAACAACTTAAAAAGTAAAGTTTGAATATCTTGTTAATCAGAGTTCAAGTTATACTAGAATTTGCTCTGCAGTATTTTTATGTACTACAGAAGAATTATCTTAAGCACCAGGCATTCATTATACAATGCTGGAACACAGATGAAGGAGTGGATTGTGATGCCACCATTAACTCAACGCTGTCAAAAGTGCCATTAAAATACACACTTACTGTTTTTCATTATTGTCTACATTTGTTAATATACTATGAATTAATATGAGTAGGTATCTCTACTCATATCATGTCTCTTTCCATTACAGGGCATTTCTATTTTACTTTCTATTTTATTAAATTTCTGTGTTGCTTCAACTTCTACCTGGTATTACTTTTGATCCTGATGCCTAAGTTTGAATCTGAGCTCTGTCATTTACCAGCTGTGTGACCTACACTCTCTGCACCTCAAAAAATGTGGATACATTACTATCCACCTCATGTGCAAAGACTAAGTACTAATGCATATATATGTAGAACAGTGCTGGCACATAGTAAGTTCTATTTAAGGTGTTTATTATGATTTTATAGTCAGGAAAAAAACAGACATCTGAAGTTTTCTTCTAGTAGATTACCTGGTTACTTTCCAAGGTTGTGTAATATTTTACCCCTCTATCATATTATTTTAAGTCACATTACTATATAACGTATGCATATGTTTTAATTCTAAGAAGACCCATTAGAAATTTAATTGGGATTTTCTGTGTTGTCTTAGAAGTTGGAAATATAGAATATTGTGGTTCAAACATCTTTCCCCGGCCCCCTCAAGGGTCTAAAAGATCAAATCAAATCAAATAAGGGTGACAGACCAGTCTCCCACAAAAAGCAGACGTCCAAATGATTGTGTAAAATGGCTAAAATGTAGAATGTAATATTATTGGCAGGAAAACAGATGAGTCAAATAACTGAAAGTAAAAAACTCAAAGTCAAAATGTCAGATACCTAACACACAGGGTACATGTACTTCTTAAATACTGATTGCATAGTTGATAATGAATGAAAAGCCAATATATCTGAGAGTGAGTCTCTTGTAATACCACAAATATAGTTCTGGTAGCATATGTAGACCTGTGAAAATTTGGAAATAATAGTAATAGATAGCTGAAACTTGTTAATTTGGCTGTTTCTTATTTAATAACAAAAAATTTTTTATAATACATCTAGAAAATGTATTTAATTCAGAGCAGCACCAGAGTTTCACTGACCCTGTTCTGGGAGTATTCAACAAATAAAACATTCAACAGTCAACATTCCTACATGTTTAATTTTGTAAATAAATTTGTATAAAAAAGAAGCTTTAGTCATGTGCAGAGACAACTATCATCAAAACATAGGTCTGAAACAATTAAGTGATGGACAACTACAGGTGCAGTTAGTGATTATTTTTCTAATTGCTTTTTCCATGTGGGAATCCCTAAGGACTGTGATATCTTACAAACAATATGAAGATAAGACATAATATTACTGCACCTTGTCTATTGTAAAATATACTGGGAAAGGGAGATTATGGTAATATAGGCAAACCCAAGTTCCTGGTCCTACGATGAAAGACCTAACTTACGATAACATAAAGCATCCCTTTAATGCTCTGATTACTCAGGGAATTTGTTACTTACCTGTGCTTCCAAAATGTATAACCCAAAGCTACCTGAAGTACACAGGTACAGAGTAATTACAATATATATTAAAAAGTTGCTAAGAGGTTCAGATGACTGTAAACTATACAGTAAAGTAGGGTATTATTATCAGCTACTGAATAACCAGCTGTGTTTCCATTCTTTAAAATTCAGAAATGTTACAGATAATTTTTGAGAAAGTAATACTTAACAGTCACTTATAAATTTAAGAAGGTTTCTCATGTGGTTACTTGGTTAGTGGTGTGGAGAAATACGTTTTGTAATAAAAAAGCTTTGGTTATAAAAGTGCATTGATCATAAGCAAATTATGTCTAGTCATTCAATCTGCAGGGAAATGATTCTGATTCTAGCTAAGAGGAAATATGATTTTATAGCTATAAATCTACCATTTAAAATAGTAATATTTTAGAAAATAAAATTGCCAGGCCTGTATGAAGGATCCATTTTAATAAAAAGTAAATTCCTTGAAAAAAATTTAGTGAACATAGCTTAAAATGTATAATCAAACAGCAAACACAATTTCTGGATTTTAGTATGGCTTCTTAAAATTAAGTGATCAACATTTTGACTCTAAAGGATGTCATTCTAATCAGTGGTTGTTAATCCAGCATTTATAAGATCATTAACTTCAACACTGAATCAAGGTACAATATAAAAAGCTCAATGTCTAACTACCAATCAACTTTGAAATATTACACTTTCAGTATCAGAAAAGGTCAGAGAGAATGAGACTTCCTATGTAGTGTTATTATATATATAGAATAACTCCGACAAACAGTAATTAGCTACTTAGTTTGGTATGTGTTAAACCATCCTATCAAGTTACCCACAGTATTCATCTTCTGATAAACAATGCTTGTAGCAACCATCACTAGCTGTGCTATAAACAAAAATGAAGATGAAAAACCAGAATAAGTGTACTTCATAATAATTTTTAATCTCAGACCTCTGAAAATATTTTCACCGCTGAAGAAAAGCCTATGTATTCCTAAGTGAAACAAAGATATCTTCCCTTTTGGATTTCTAGTGGATAGAATTAGAAATTTTACTTATCATGAAAATAATCTACCGTATTTGCCGGCGTATAAGACGACTGGGCGTATAAGACGACCCCCTAACATTTCCACTCAAAATACAGAGTTTGTTACATACTCGCCGTATAAGACTACCCCCTCTTCCGCACACCTTCCACACACCAAATAAAAGGTAAAACAATATCAGATT